TTGAGCCTTGGGCAGCAGATTAGTACCCATCCCAAGTATACACACAGACTTTGGACTCCCATAGAACAATGTGAGGTGCACTCTCACCCTGAACTCTTGGGGAAGGGTCTAGGCCCTGCCCTATATGAAATGACAGACTATGGACACCCCCATGGAGGGCCTCACCCTCCCTGGGGGAATGAGGGGATAACGGGGGGGGGGGGGGGTTGGGGGAAGGGCACGGGAGGAGGGGAGGGAATGGGAGAGGGACCTGGAACTGACTTGTGAAGCAACCTTGTTTCTTATCTAAATTTAAACTGGAAAATAAAATATAAAAAAAAAATATGGGGCTGTAGCTCTTGGTAGAAGTGTTTGTCTAGCATGCATGAGGCCCTCTTATCAATCTTCAGAGCCACATGAAAAAATAAATACCAGAATTAAAACATAGTTGATAATTCTGGATTATATCTAAAACACACAGTAGTCTTCCATAAACATTATATTAAATGGGGGCTGGGTAATAATGCAATCACAAGGACCTAAGTTCAATTTCCCAGAACCCACATAAGAACAATCAGGTATCTTGTAATTCTGGTGCCAGAGAGGAGACAGGAAGATCTTTGGGATTCCCTGGACAGCTAGCCTAGCCTACTTCACAAGTTCTAAGACAACGAGAGACCCTGTCTCAAATACTAAAATAAACCATACCCAAGGAATGAAAAAGCTGTCTTCTAGATTACATGTGTACTCATGCTCACACATACTCACATACACAAACACACACACACACACACATTCACATCTACAAATTTATATTTAATTTATATTTTTAAAACTATTTACTCAAGCCGGGCGGTGGTGGCGCGCGCCTTTAATCCCAGCACTCGGGAGGCAGAGGCAGGCGTATCTCTGTGAGTTCGAGGCTGGGCTGGACCGATAGCCTCCAAAACAATACAGAGAAACCCTGTCTCGAAAAACCAAAAAAAAAAAAAAACTATTTACTCAAAGTTGCATTTTCTCCTCTTGAACTGTCAGTGGAGTATACTGAGCATATTCCCATGTCCATTTTAGACAAAGATTAACTCATCCCAAGGAATTTTAAATGGAAGCCTAACTTGGCAAGACAACAAAGAAGACCTGAGGTGCAGGTTTCCTATTCCATTAAAGAACCCTCTAAAAGTTCCTGCATGACATGTATAAAGTAGTGATAGGGTATTGTAATAAAAACAGAAGGTATCCATTAAGGTGCCTTGGAGGAAGGGACGGAACTTCATTGCCACTAATCTGTGCTGATTTTCGTGGAAACATCACCCTGAAATATGAAAACAGCATTTAACTTTGAACTTTTACTTTTAAAATTAGATTTATAGAAGCCAATTGCTGCCCACTGTAGCTCTCCATTAATTTCTTAAGATTGACTCTTCCAGGAATCCTAATTACTGGTGACCTCCAAATGGATCATTTTAACTCAATATCAAATATTTCTTTCTTGAGCTGTTTTTCTTGATCATTTACAGTTTTACTATGGAAAATAGATGATTTTTTAAAACCTCTTAAAATGTTTATTACATTGATTTATGTGCATATGAGTGCATGCACATGTGTACACACATACACCACAGTATGTGGGTGGACCTTTGGGAGCTGCCCACCATTTGGGTCCTGGAGATCGAACATAGGTCGTCAAGTTTGGTGGCAACCACCTTTACCTAGTTAGCCAGCTCACCAGCCCAAAAGAAAAGTCTCCAGACACATTTGCCTGTTTATTGTTTGTTTGCTTTAAGTGTATGGGTGTTTAGTATGCACGAACTTACGTGTAGCACACATGCAGTGCAGTCCCCATGGAGGCCAGAAGAGGGAGAGGGTATGCATAAAACTGATGCTAAAGACAGATCCACCTTGTGGATAAAGGAAACTGGACTGGGACCCTCTGCTACAACAGTAGGCACTGGGCCCCAAAAGAGGGAATTTTAAACTGATCAAAACTATCTGTGAGCTTGTATGTTTCTAAGGGTCCCTAAGATATGAACTCGGAGACTGAATTCTAATTCTATATTTTGTCATAGCTATGATTGACTTTATGTCATATGGTTCTTGAAAAATGATGCTAATTTGTGAACATCCATTTCTAATGCCAACATTTTTGCTCTATAACATACTAAGTACAGGGATATGCTGCAGGAAGTGAACCTATTTTTAGGAAGTGATTTTTAAAAAGTGATAGTTTGACATTATGGCTAAATCTATAGTCACAGACTCAAATGAAATGAATTTGAATTGTGCGCCATGTTTGAGCAAGGCCAAAGTATTTTCCTTGTATACATATACCCAGAGAAAGGGATGTATGTTAAATCTCTCTCTCTCTCTCTCTCTCTTCTGATTTCTCTCTTGTCCCTCTGTGTCTGGTTACATGTACATGTTCATGTGTGTGTGTGTGTGTGTGTGTGTGTGTGTGTGTGTGTGTGTGTGTGTGTAGAGGACAGAGGAGAACCACAAGTGTCACTCCTCAAGAGTGTTCCACCTTGTTTTTTTTTTGAGACACAGTCTCTCATTGGGGCTGGGGCAGGCTAATCAGGAGAGCTGGTTGGTAAGAGATTCCCAGGGATCTTTCTGTCTCTGCCTCCTCGGCACTAGGATCATGCCTGGCATTTCTATGTGGAATTAAACTCAGGCCCTTGTGCTTCTGCAGCAGTCACTTCACCAGCTAAGGCATTCCCCAAGACTAGACACCATCACCCTCGAGGCTATCTACCTCTTTGACAAGTACAGTAAACCTTTACAATGCATTATGTCCACAAACTATTGTTCCACCTTTCATTTCCTCTTAGCTGTTGATGTCTTTGTTGTTCAGACAAGGTCTTTCTATATTTCTTGGGCTGGTTTTTGCTTCTCAGCCCTTCTACCCGGGCTCCCAAATGCTGAAGTTATCAATGCTTAGTTTACATTTTTTTAAAAATTGTTTCCTATGTGACTATATTTTCAACTTTCAATTTTCATGCTTCCTTTTGAAAATATTCAGGGTTGAAATAGAATACTTGTAATTTTATGAAATAAAGGTTTCCCATTTAGTGGTTTTTTCCCTGGCATCAGGGTTTCCAGGGATAGATCAAAGTCATCAATCACAAGACAGATCGATTCTTTCCCATATAAAAATAGAGCAACACATGGTCCAGCTCAGCTATGCACTCACTGTCTTCCTTCCCATGTGTTAGAATCTATAGCTCCTGTACATTTTATCTGCATGGTGTATACAGCTTGCATAATCTCCAAGATGGAGTGGAATTCAGTTTACAGATCAGACCTTGAGAAGAAGGGGGAAGGCTGTAATGTCACAGGTTGGTCTAGGTTATCAATTTGCCTGGATGAAGTGATGTCTAGGACTGGCCTTTCTAAAGAGGATTAACATGTGGGACGTTGGTGAATGTTGAGAATGGTAAGCACCCATTGTGAGTGTACATGGTACCTTCCAATGGGCTGGAAACTGTGATGGGAGGAGGTTGGACGAGGAAGAAGCCAGCATATACAGGTGCATGAGCTCCCTCTTCTCATAAAGCAGTGCTTGCCAATGCTGCCGTTGTTCCAAGATGTCAGACTCTAGCGTCGTCTATCTTCCAATGCAGACTCAACACCAAAGTTTCTCCAGCTGCTTTCCAGACCTGTAGCACTGGTTGGGACTGCTGAGTTATCCAGCCTCTTAGACTGTGCAGATCTCTAGGGCTTGCCAGCTAGCTAATGTAGCCTAAACATGAAGTTGCAAGTCAATGAGTGACTCTCAGAAAATATGCTGTGATGCTAAGAATGCTGGAGGCATGGCTTTACAATGTGCTTCTACAATTGCTGGTGAGGAACAAATCCAGACGCTTTCACACCAGCAATTGGATGCTCAATTGGATGACAATGACACCTGACTCTACTACCCACAATCCATTGGCCAATGCTACCTACACATGTGGCCCTGCCTGGTGGAAAGGAAGCTATAAGCACCTTTGTGTGCTTAGGAAGGGACAGTACCATGAGCAGTGATAACTTCAGTCACAACTGTCGGATTCTCCAGCTCTGTGCTTGAAGGTAACACTGAGCAGTACACCCATGCATTCGTTTCAAACCAGCAGTCTGCAGGGTGGATCCATCCACAGACATTCAATGATGACTACATGCTTCTATGTGTTTTCCTAATTCATTTCCTACACTTACAAGATGAAAGCATAGTTCAGAGGTTCTTCTCAGTGGCAGAGTACTTCTGCCTACACATGAGGCCCTGGGGTTGGTCCCCAACATCACTGAACATAATAATAATAATAATAATAATAATAATAAAGAAATAAAAGCAAGCATAAGACCAGAACTTTCTCCACAGAAACTTCAGCCTGTGCTTTCTATCAAAACATGTGGAAAGTTTAGCAATGATCTTTTCTAAATATCAGGTAGAGCTTTGGGTTCAAATGCATCACTATACTAAGAGGAAAAAGTGAAATTTCATATATATTTTCCTACATATGGGCATATGAAAAACAATGTAGAAAAATATGCACACCAAACTGTCACTTTTAGTTAACTGCTGGGAATGAGGCAAGATAGGAGAGAAAGATTCACAACCCATAAACTATTTATTTTTAATTAATTAATTGAGACAGAGATATACGTCAGGCCCATCTTGAATTCACAGAGATCCACCTGCCTCTGCTGAGATTAAAAACATTTACCACTGTGCCCAGCCCACAAAATGAAGAGTTCTGTGGCCAGGAGCTGCCAGCACATTTGTACCTTTGTCACAAAGGTGAGAAGTTTAACGCCTAAGCTACTGAAGAACTGGAAAGCACTTCATTTAGGATTGCTTTGCTGCCTTCAACACAGCAGAAGGAAATGCGAATGTAATGGAGCTTCCAGCCAGCCGCTGGTATGAATTCCACACTCGTTTTTCAAAAGGAAAAGCCACAGGGGAGTAGCTGAGGAGGGGATTTTGGAAACTTCAGGGTAATTCACATACCAATACAAATCCATTTTGTTCTTGTTTCTTCCAGTTTCTTACTGCCAACCGGAGGAACATACAGACAACGAGAACCATCGGAGGAAGCTTTGGCCTTGAGCTGATCTTGGCAGGCTGCTTGTCTGTGTCTGCTAGGCAGTCCTTCTGTCCCCTGGAATTAGGCATCGCCTCTTCCAACAGTTTCTTCTGGAAGATTTCTCCTCACCCACTGCACCTGGAGTTGCTGACTGACTAATATAATCGAATGCCTCTGCAGAAGGTATTTTACTTACATGCCCTTTGCTGCAACAAGATTCCTGACAAGAACAACTTAAGGAAGCATTTGTTTTTGCTCACAGTTCCAGGGAACAGTCAGTCATGGCAGGGAACACGAGGCAGCTGATTGCATTGCATCTGCACTCAGGAGGCAGAGAGAGGTGAATGCTGGTCTCAGCTCCCTGTCTCCTTTTTAACTGGTCCAGCAGTTAGGGTAGGAATTCCACCTCGATAAATGTAATGTAGAAAGCCATCATAGATATGTTCAGAGATTTGTCTCCAGAGCTATTCTACATCCTGACAAGTTACCATCACATAAACCATCATAAGTAGCAAGATAACACGTGCCCCATCCCAAAGATAGCCACACCCTCATCCCTGAAGGTTATTCATGAAGACTGCATGTTGTAATATCTATTAACCATGTGATCTTAAAGTGGGACATGGGTATCAGAAGCAGAGCACTCTCAAAATCCTTTTAAATGGAAGAGGGACACGGAGGAGGAGAACCAGAGGGAGATGTGAGAAATGGACTGGGGTCTTAGCCCAATGTGTGCAGTCTCAGACTTCTGACCTCCACAGTCTTATCACCCATTTGCATGGCTTTACCTTAACACTGCAGCAATAGGAGACTTACACATGAGCTCATCCACTGCTCCTGGAGAAGCTGGGGTGCTGTTGCCCAGCTGTGCCTCTTGCCACCCTCAGTGGATGCTGGGAAGGTTCCCTGCTCTGCCTTTATACCGACTCAACTTTCTCCTCCTTTATATGACTCTCAAGAAGCCCCCCCATACATGCACCCCCTCCTCAAAGCGGTTCAGGCACTGGGGATCCTGACATTTGCAATTAGTTCATTGTATTTTCAAAGTTTGGCAGAGGACCATTGTTCAATAGAGTCTTTCTTTTTCCTTCTCTTTTTGGTAGCATAGTCTTACCACTCATCTGACATCAGGGAAGATTGAATACCAAGCTAGGAAAGTAAATCTAACTTCTTTGTTCCCTTGGAATGGGAGGGAGCTTGAAGCTGGAAGCCCCCCTCCCCCATGGATACTGACTTGTGCATTTTATAGGGCCTCTGGGTCCTCCTTTTCCCACAGTGGTCCTGTTTATATTCTTCCCTATGCCTTTGTACTGCCCAGGCTCCTGCCTTGTCTTGGTTGGGGAAGACGAAAAGCCTCTATTGTTAATGAGGATGGAGATGAAGTAAGCTTGTTTATATAAGTCTCACTTGTTTTCGCATTACTTCTATGAAAAATAAATATTAAAAACAACACCTTAATACAAGGGGAGGAGCTTAGTCCTACAGCAACTTGGTATGTCATGTTGACACCCATAGAAGGCCTGGTCCCTTCTGAAAAGAAACAGAGGAGGAGTAGATGGCTCCGGAGGGAGGGGAAACTGCAGTCGGGTGTAAAATAAATAAATACATTTAATTCATAATTAAAACCACAGTGTGGTTGATAAAGATCTGGGCTAGATGTGTAGATAAATCATGTGGCTCACAGTTCAAGTTCCATTTTCTGTGCTTACTTGTGTGATCTTGACTATTAACTCAGTTGCCAACCCCTGCCCCCTCTCTCTTTCTCCCTGGGTTGGTCTCCAGCTCTCCATGTACCTGAGGATAATCTTGAACTTCTAACTCTCTGCTTCCTTCGCCCAAGTATGGGATTATAGGCATGCATCACCATTCTCAGCTTATGTGGTGCTAAGAATGAAACCCAGGGCTTCCTACATGCTAGCCTGGCACTCTGCAGACAGCAACAAACTTTCTACATGGTGATTTGACCATCATGCGCCAACGACTACCTCAATGTTCATTTTAGTGTTTCAAAGAGAAATCTTCGCACATATACACGTGTGCATACACATATAAACACACATCCTCACATACATCAACATGCACACACATACACACATACCCTCACATGCATCAACACACACACACAAACACACACACACACACACACACAAAACAAACAAAGTGGTTGTCTAGCACAGAGATGGTGTCTTCAGCCTCCTTCTTCTTGAACTCAAACACAACAACATCGATATGAACTTGCCCTTCCCTTTGGACTAAAAGCATTTTCCTGCTGTTGCTGGGTGAAGGAAAAACACAGCTGAATCTCTGTTGTCTCTGGTGACATTTGCCAAACACATGGCACTAGCCATGATAATCCTGTCTGCAGTTGAAGAGTCACAGATAATGAGCACTCTAGAAAGTGGTTCCATCCTGACAGTGTTCCCCAAAGTAGATCACTTGAATCCATGTCTCAATTAACTGCACCTCTGAGCCTGGGAGTTTGCACACCCTGCTTTCTAATCCCAATATTGCTGACATTTATATGGCTAAGAAGTTCAGGGCAGAATGAAAAAAAGTAAAGATTCCCCATTGAGACACATTAAAAATTGTTGTTCTGGGTCACTATCACTCTTGCTGGTACAGAAACTATGTGGGTATAAAAAATATATCTCAAAACCATAATTATATCTTTGGGGAAAAACTCTAAATGTGTTTCATACATATGTATTGAAAATGAGTTTAAGAAGTTTTGTTGGTGTATATATTACTTTTGGTTTATTTAAGTATATTTTACAGTGTATTAAAATCCAGTAGAAAATTATTAGCTGTAAATGTGTAAAAAACCCAGCAAAATATACATATGTATGTATAATAAGCTGAAAGAATTATGTTCCCAACAGTGATTAATGTTCCAAAGCCAACTTATACTAATCATAAACTTAAATCTAATATATTAAAGAATTAACCTTACTTTCCCTCTGAGAAGTCATGTAGTCTGTGGTTTGTTATTTCTCCTAAGAAATTTACCTTCAGGGGTGTCTGGATTTTAAAATGAATCATCTTCCATCTATTTAAAATAACAGAAATACATATGTGGGCTGAGTTGGCTTGTAATGCCAATCTCTGCCACTGGGAGCAGCAGTATCTATTATTTTACATGTTTTTCTGGGTGGATGAGGCATAAGATTTTGTGGTTTTGCTTTTTAACTGGGGTGATCACTTCTCTTTGGACCTCAGTTATTTCAGGAAGTGTCTGGAGGCTCTGAGATCATAACCCCTCAGTTTCATGATTTAATGGTGGTGTGGTGTTTTTAAGATGGGGCAGTGACAAGAACTTTGCTACAATTCCAGAGATGACAGTAACTAAATTCTATGATGTGCAGCCATAGTCAATCACTCTCTGAATTTCTGTCACAAAATATTGTAAACTGGGCTTATAAACAACAGAAAATTCTTTCTGACCCCTGGTGAGCCTAGGCCAAGGCATTGTCTCTAGAGAACTGCTTTTTGGGTCAAAGCTGTTTCCTTCTTTCCAGTTAGCTCTCTTCTACTAGGGCAAAAACACTAATCTGTCTTTGCTGTGTTCCTCCTCTGCACCCCCATCACCAAGATACCCTCGCTTTCCTGTTATAGAGGCACCAGTCCACCCTCCAGTGTGATCTCACATTGATGTGTTCACATCTTCAGACAAGGTCACAGTCACCGGTGACAAGTGAGCACTTGAGAGACAATTCAGTCCAGTAGGAGGGTGGTGACGATGAAAGATGGAAAGATGGGGAAAGGATGAGGAAAAGGAGACCAGTAATGACTGAGCACACAGAGCTCTACCCTGAGCAGTCCTTTGGAAAAGGCCATGTCCCTCTCTCAGGCTAACTCCACTTTCTAACCCGACACTTAGCCTCTGAGAGGCCAAGACTTTTTTTGTCAACAAAATGAATGTGAGATTCAAATCTGGGACACCAGGCTCTGGCCACACCTGTCTTGCCCTTTATCAACCCATTGTTAAAGGGTGTAAAGAGTGAATCCTCCCCAGGTTTTAGCTCTACAAACCGACAAGCATAGTATTGTGCAAGGCAAGCAACAGTACACAGGTTGATTTTCGGTGATGTGTAAGCACAGATTACATTGTGGGGGTGGGGCAGCATCCTCTCCCTTTCAACACTTTATTTTGGTGTCACATGGGTCTCTAGGAAGCTGCTCCGGAAACAGGATGGAAAATTCTGAATATCCGTCACCCTGTTCAACGCTTTACATCCAACACAACTACACAACTATGATGACATACCAAACTCAGGAAGTTGAGTACTACAATATTTAGGTTTCATGGGCTTTGACATTTATCTGTGTGGGAGTTTGTGTGTGTGTGTGTGTGTGTGTGTGTGTGTGTGTGTGTGTGTGTGTGTCTGTGCATGTATGGTATGTGTGCATGTGTACAATTTGTATATGTAGTTCTGCAAATTTCTACCTCATGTAACTGTCTACCCAAACTCAGTATAGAACAGACCTCTTCCACAAAGGATCTCTGAAGTGGTTAATCTTTACTGTCAACTTAATCTGATTGAGCAATTCCTAGGACATCAGAGGAGCACAACTCTGTGTATGTTTTGGGAGGTGCTTCTAGGGAAAGACTCATCCTGAATACAGGAGCTACCATCTCATAGGCTGGGGCCTCAGGCAGGAAGAAGGGGAGAATGGAGGAGCCTACCAACTCGAGAATCCTGTCTGCTCACAGTCTACTGTTGGGTAGTAACTTTTCTTTCTGCCATGATTCTTCATCCTCACCACAGGCTCAGACATGGAGCCAGTCAGCTATGAATCAAAACCTATGAAATTATTAGTCAAAATAAGTCCTTCCCTCCTTAAGTTGCTCTCTCATGTATATGACATGGCTGAGCCTTCCTTGAATTCACTTCATTCATTTGGAAAGAAAGACACTATTGGCATCCACCATTCATATACCATATCACACTTGGCGCTGTTCTCATCAAGAAAGTCTCCAGTCTTGACCTTAGCATCACTAGCAGACAGCAGATGTTGCTGACATTCACTAAGAACTTGAATTCTCTGTTTACTCATGCCACAGAGATACTGGTTTTATAGGATATGAACATAGACATTTTTTTATCTTAAGCAAATGTTTGGGAGTAATAAAAGTGAGAAGACACATAAATGAAACACAATACAGGTGATTTGCAGATATGGCAAAGAAATTAAGGAAGGTGATATTCTGATGCAAGGGCCTGGGGAAGTGAGTCATTGGATCAAGTACTTGTCCGACAAGCATAAGGACATGAGTTCAATCTTTAGCACCTGTATAAAAAAGCCAGGCACTGCGACACAAGCTTGGAATACCAGAGCTCTGGGGGCAGAGACAGGACAATCCCTGGAGCTTATGGCACAACCAGTACAGCTAAACCAGTGAGCACCACGTTCAGCTCTGTCCCAAACAACACTGTGTTGGTAATGAGAAGGCTCATTGGTTAAGGTCACTTGTCACCAAATGTGACAACTTGAGATTGATCCCTAGAATCCAGCCGGTAGAAGCAGAAAACTGATGAGCACAAGTTGTCCTCTGACCTTCACACACACACACACACACACACACACACACACCATGTGATATACAAACTTTGCAGTTTAAAGTTTGCAGAACCCTGAGTTAGGAAATGACTTTAACCCTGATACAGACTGAGTGTTTTACAACATCCTACAGGAAGAATAAAGTACAGACGCTGCCTCTGAAAATGCAGAGCATGGCCATTAAAACTAGGAATTAAAGAAATGTGTTTTTATTCCTGTATCTCAAGGCCTTCTTGTCAAAGGAGATTTCAATTTGGCTGGTCACTCACCATGGTGATTCATCCAGCCAGTCTTTGTAGTCTTCCCATTATTAAATATTGCTGCTGCAGGTACGGGTGGGGTATCAGGGCTAGGACAAGGTGGTGGCTTGACTTTGTAGGTCTGGCAGGCAACTGCTCATCTAAAAGAAGGTGACATCACCATCACCAACAGGCAGGACTTCTGTTTTTCCCAATGAACTACAATGGGGGAGGGATCCCCAAACTATTCCCTCTAAGAAGCAGAGGAGCTAAAAGACAGTAGACAGGACGACCTCACAGAACAAGGCTCTACAGAGTGTCAAACTCATTACTTCATCATCCCTGCCTCTTCTTCTTTTTTTTTTTTGGTTTTTACGAGACAAGGTTTCTCTGTGTTGTTTTGGAGGCTGTCGGTCCAGCCCAGCCTCGAACTCACAGAGATCTGCCTGCCTCTACCTCCCGAGTGCTGGGATTAAAGGTGTGCGCCACCACTGCCTGGCCTGCCTCTTCTTTTAAAATAATTCAAAGCATACATTTTGGGGCCTTCAGATAAATGGTTTAAACTCACACTGAGTCAGGAAAATTAATTAATTTCCAAAACCTTACTGTAGGAAATAATGTCAGGTCTGCCTTCTTTTGTATGGCAGATTTTTTAGGTGATTTGGGCTAAGGTTCTTAAAATTCCACTTCATATGTGACATGGTTCCTGACATCCATTCACTCCTTGATTATTGAATAGCCAACTCTTGAGACACTACAATGAGCCAAAGCAGCTCCAAGCATTAAAGATAAAGGAACAGGGAAAATGCAAGCTCCTGTAATATCAGAGGAGAAAATAAAAAGATAACGTATTAGTGTAAACTGCTTGCGTGAGGGCCTGAGTTTATGTAGGGAGAGGAAGGCAGATTGCTGCAGCTCTCCAGGCAGCCAGTCTATCAAGCTAAACCAGAAATTACTAGGTACAGTAAGAGAGCCTCTATCAAAAAAAAAAAAAAAAAAAAAAGGACACAGAGCTATGGAGGAAGGCACTAGCTGTCAACCTCTGTACTCCATAGGCATGCATACATATGCACTCACATACATGTCTACACACACCCACATGTAGTACATACACCACATACACACGCACACACAAGACAAATAGCATGACATGTCTTGCTGTGATAGATGCTAAGAAAATACAAAATCAAAACAGTTGGAGAGAGAAATGGCAGACCGTCTTTGCACTCAGATGAGAATCTAAGTGACGAGTCCATAAGCGTTTATCAGAGACCTATTATGTCTAAATGTGCTGTTCTGAGAAAGAAGGAGAAGGTAGAGTGATCATGTTGAGTAGGCAACAACTTCTGAGAAAGACAGTGTCACAACGGTAACTTGAAAGGACTAGGTGGAGGTTTCCTAACCTCATGAAGACTTAAGTAAGGGGATAACTTAAATTACACTACAACAGAAAAATGCCATCCCTGAGATTTGAGCTCAGGCTTGTTTGATTCTAAACATGTGTCTTTTTTTTGTGCGGATGAAACTGATGAAAGGTATAGTGAATTCAAATGTCTGTCATAGATTTTAAATATCTCAAACTAAAGAAATGCTCAATGTTTGAGATGATGATTTTGCTAACTACCCTGATTTGATGACTATGCTTCATGAAGGAATGTGCTGCTACACTGTACCTGCAAAATATGCAAGGACAGAATGAACTAAAAACAAAATTATGAGACTGGAGAGATGGTTCTGCTGACAAAGCTGCATAGGCATGAGGACCTGAGTTCAATCCTTGGTACACAAATGAAAGCCAGTTGCACTGGTAGAGGCCTGTAACCCCAGCATTGAGGAGATGGAGATAAGAGGATCCCTGGGCTTGCTGGCCAGTTCATCGAGGCAAACCATCAAACTCCAGGTTCAGTGAGAGACTATTTCTAACAAAGAATAAGGAGCCAGTGGTGGTTCACATCTTTACTATCAGCAGCACTCAGGAGGCAGAGACAGGTGGATCTCTGTGGGTTCAAGGCTAGCCTAATCTACAGAGTGAGTTTCAGGACAGGCTCCAAAGCTATGCATAGAAACTCTGTCTCAAAAAAAAAGGAAAGAAAGAGAGAAGGGGAAGAAAAGAAAGAAAGAAAGAAAGAAAGAAAGAAAGAAAGAAAGAAAGAAAAAAGAGGGAAA